TGTAAGGTTCTGTTTTTAAAAAAAGCCGGTAATTTAATATTTTTTTACTTCTTAAATTTGAATTTTTCTATTTAAGGGTGGTTTTTTCGATTTAAAAAAATTTTAGAGGGTGAGGGAGCATTTCTGGCTTTGTTTCTGCATTGCTGGAGTAAAAATATCTGGTTATAAAATTTTTTAATCAGTTATTTTATTGTTTTACCTCCTGAATTTGATTCTTTAGATTAGGGGTAGTTTTTTCGATTAAAAAAATTCAGGGGGTGCTGGATCAATGCTGGCTTTGTTTTTTTGAGTTAGTAGAGCAAAACTACAAACATGTAAGGTTCTGTTTTTAAAAAAAGCCGGTAATTTATTATTTTTTTACTTCTTAAATTTGAATTTTTCTATTTAAGGGTGGTTTTTTTGATTTAAAAAAAATTTAGAGGGTGAGGGAGCATTTCTGGATTTGTTTCTGCCTTGCTGGAGTAAAAATACCTGGTTATAAAATTTTTTAATCAGTTATTTTATTGTTTTACCTCCTGAATTTGATTCTTCAGATTAGGGGTAGTTTTTTCGATTAAAAAAATTCAGGGGGTGCTGGATCAATGCTGGCTTTGTTTTTGAGTTAGTGGAGCAAAGTTTCGTAGATGTAAAATTTGGTTTTTCTAAAAAATAAGTTGATTTATTTTTTATCTCCGAAGTGTGAATTTGTCCGTTTAAGGGTGGTTTTGGTCGATTTAAAAAAAAACTGAGGGTGATGGAGCAATTCTGACCTCAGATTCGGTTTCAGCGGGACAAAATACTATAGGAAATATATGTGTAGTTCAAGAAACAGACAACTTTTTTTTTTTTGTGTGCCTGTGTAATAAGCTGTCCCCATTTACCCCAAAAATTTGAAATTCCAGGGTAAATGGGGACAGCTTGTTATTATTAACCAAATTGACAATAATTCAAGTGAATTTCTGTTATGGGAGTCATAAGGAATAAGAAAATATTTTGGTATCATTTTTAAGTCTGTTTTCTTTGAAATTCAAGACAAAATACTAAAACAGTTTAATTTTGATTTTCAAGTTTTTATGCATTGAGCGATAACTTTTTTTATCTTGCTGAATTGTCAAGATAAAAGCTTAGCAATACTCAAAACCTCTTGCAGGTGATCAGAGGTTAAAATATTGATGTTGAACTTAATTTTAAAACTGTAAATTAAGCTCGAACACCTCTTGTCCCTATTTATCCCAACTGACCCTAATTGAATTTTGGAAGAGTTATAATTGAAATTTTTAGAATAAATAAATTTCAGAAATTTTTTTACTGCAAATTTTAGGTTTTTAAATTAAAAGTTTTTAAAAGTAATTAAATTTAATGAACTCTATAATTTATAACGTTATTTTTTAAAGGAATTATTATTATTATTTTTTTTTAAAAAGATCTACGTAAATAAAAAGAAAGTTATTTTTTTAGTTTCAAAATACAATTCAGTCCAAAAATAACTAGATAAAGAAATAAAAAGTAATATTGTAATAATAATAATATTAATAATAACAAACAAAAACTAAAGTTTTTTTAAAAATACTTTTACAACTTTTATTTTTTATTAGTATAATAAAAATGTTCTGCATACAAATTTTAAATACAATAAAGATTAAATTAAGTAGAGAATTTTTATTTAACTTTAAAGTAAATTACATTTAAAAATTACGTGAGTGATTAAAGATTTTGATTTCAAAATAAATTTTGAGGTTAGGAAATTAAATGTTTAAAATAAATCCTATTTGTATGCAAATATGAAAATGAAAGAATTTTATTATTATTTTGAAAAATGAAGAAGATAAATTAACATTATAAAATTCATAATAAATGACTAATAATTTTTATTTTATCGCGTAATAATTAAAAATAAAAATTTGAGGTTAAAAATATTTTTGTTTTAACAAGACTAAATATTTATGTATGATTTATAAAGATTAGTTTAAAAAATGAAAAATAAAGTATAACTTACTGTTTCGCTGGCTTTCCCGACATTTTCTCTTTAATTTAAATGCAAAAAAAGAAGGAAAAATGATATAGTTTTGTTTACGTATCTGAACGTATGTAACTAACAAGTGTGACAGACAATTCAATAAATATAAGGGATAACACATAACACACATAAGTTTCGAATTTCGACGAAATTTAATTGTGTGTTGACCTTTATGATCAATTATACATCGATTGTGAGTTATCGAATTTAAAATATCGATATTTCGATATTGCTTTTATCGATACAAGGAGAAAGCAAACACCGAAACACGTGTTTATTATTTTTCCATTTCTTAGTTTATTTTTATTTTAAAAAACTCCGTTTTTACTTAGTTTATTCATTGTGTAGGTCATATTTATTAAGAGAATAATGTTTTACGTGATAGGATTAGGCCTCGGCAATGAAAAAGATGTGACAGTCAAAGGTTTAGAAATAATTAGAAAATGCCACCGGGTTTATTTGGAAGCGTACACGTCAATTTTAATTGTTGGAAAAGAAACATTGGTAAGTTCTTTTTTTAATTAATTTTTTTATTTCAATTACGCAATTATTTATATTATTGATAACTTAATTATTGAAAAAAGCTGCATGTAAATTGTAAAGATAATTCAAATTCTCGACTCGATTATAATTTGTATGAAGAAAGTGATGTTATATTTTTCTAAACAATTTTTTTATTGAAATCGTTTGGTAATCGTATAGTAGTGTTTGATAATAATTTTTGGTTGTTTGGTAGCGAAAAATTATTAAATTATTTAATTTTTAGTCAATCCATTATATTTCGACTAAAGTCGTTGCTGACTAATTTTTCAAAAATTACCATTACTTTGGAGAAATGATTTTGAAGTTAACAAGATTATAAAATCAAAAGAATTTTATTAAAAATTGAATTATTTTTTGTAAAATATGAATTTAAAGTATATGAGGTGCTAAAAACTGTCCATTTTTTAGTCATTAGAAAATATGCAAAAAAAACATAGAATTTACAATAAAAAAAAATTATTGGAATTTACTAAGAATGAATAAATTTATCATTATCAATTGATATAATTATTTAAAGATGTGATATAATAATAAAATATGATTTTCAAGTGCACTTGACAAATAACTTAATTTTACGATTTTTATTCATTAATTATAAAAAATAGGAAACATTAAATTAAATAAAATCATACCAAACATTTCTTTGCACTTCTCTTCTCTCTTTTTCATAAGTATAAAAAATTTTTAAACATACAATAGCCACATTGTTCATTTTTACTATTTTTAAAAGTCAATAATTCTTTTGAAGAAAAATGAAAAAATATGGGGTTTCGAAAATTATTTACATGCACACTGAAACTTTCGGTCCATTTAAATAATTTTCGAAACCCCATATTTTTTCATTTTTCTTCAAAAGAGTTATTGACTTTCAAAAATAGTAAATTTTCACTATTTAAAATTTTTTTTATACTTATAAAGAAGAGAAAAAAAAAGTGCAAAGAAATTCTAAAATTTTATCACAAGAACTTCATAGGTATTTGGTATGATTTTATTTAATTCAATGTTTCCTATTTTTTATAATTAATGAAGTAAAATTGCAAAATTAGTTTATTGTGTGTATTTTCACTACAAAAAATATTGAGATGTCCTTTTTTGATATTTTCGAGATATTAATTAATTAATTAATTATTGTTAATAAAAAATAAAATATTTTACAAATAAATAAAGTTATTGCAATTCTGAAGCTAAATATTGAAAGCTGACGTAATTCCGCATCAAATAAGCCCTATATGAACTATTTTGGATTGGAGGATTTTTTATAAACAATTGCAATGTTGCCCAATTATTTATTAACAATTTACTAATCCAAAATACATCATATAGGGACGCGCAATTATGTCAACTTTCATTCAGTAGCGTCAGAATTACAATAACTTTATTTTTTTATAAAATTAACACTAATTAATTAATTAATAAATATCTTGAAGACAAAGAAAAAGGACATTTCCATTTTTTTTTGTTGAAAGGATACGTTTTAAACTTTCTAAAAAAATTTGAACAATAAAAAAAGACCAATTTTGAAAAAAAGTCAAAAAAATTTTTGATTTAAAAAAAATGAAGTGAAATTTTGAAATTTTTTTTCACCAATCGAAAGAGCACAAAAAAACCTTTGGTAAACATATATATTTCAAAATTTTTTCATCTACTTATATATAATAATAATAATAATAATAAACGTTCGCATCAATCTATTAAGGGGACATTCTGGTTTTTTTGCACATATGTCCAGCGTCAGGGAAAATTCAGGGAATTTTTTTGTACTTCTTGCTGGACACCCTGATATTTTTAAGAAATTTTTTTTACAATAAAATTGATTAAAATCTCTTGAAACTTTTACATATTATCTTACGTATATGGAAGAAAATAAAATTTTTTTTTATTAATTTACGGCGACAAAATGGCGATCGAAAGGGAAGCCCATAAAAATCTGATTGACATGATATCTCGAGTCAGAAACGTTGGAATTTAAAAAATCAAATTGTATATGTTAAAATATAGATAAATGGCTATAGCTGGTAGTAAAATTAAACATTTACGTTGAAATTTAAAAAAATGTCGGACTTTTAAATATGTTCATCCATTTTTGCAATTATTTATTTAAAAAGTAGGTTAAAAATTATTGAAAAATTATTATTTTACTACGGGCTATAACCATTTACCTATATTTTAACTTGCAATTTGAATTTTTAAATTCCAACGTTTCTGACTCGATATATCTTGTCAACTAGATTTTTATGGGCTTCCCTTTCAATCGATATTTTGTCGCCGTAAATTATTAATAAAAATTTATTTTATTTCCTTCATTATATGTGAGATAAATATGTAAACGTTTCAAGAGATTTTAATAAATTATGTTGTAAAAAAAATTTTATAGAATATATACAAAAGATTCAGAATCCTCCCTTAAGTTGAATTTCTTACTTTAATAATATTGCACATTTTTTGTTCATAGAATACACAGTTATTTTAATTACAATTTATTTATTGTCACAAGAAAACCATAAGAAGAACAATTAAAAATAGAATAAACCAAAAAAATATAAATCCTGTAATGTCAAAACCCCAAATTGCGGTTGTCGTAGCCGACTTTTATTAGAAGTACTCGCATTTGCCTGACCCTATTTTGATCAGAGTAGAGGAAAACTACGGAAAACCTCTACTGAATACAGCCGGTTTATAGACTGTCGAGTCATGAATGTACATTTAAATAGTCATCCAAATGCACAAACATATCCTCGACGCGACGTCAAACCTCTCGCTTAATATATCTTGATTGCAGCGAAAACACCAGGGCTATTGGCGATTCAAACAGCTACACTAGCGCCACAGTTGAACTAATTTAGGTGTGACTCGCTCTGTAGCACTCCATGTGTTTTAAATTATTTTTTTTTATTTAACGCTTAAAAATAATTTTACAAACGCAATAAAAATATCAGAATAATTAAATAATTTGAAATAAAATGTCAAAACAGAGACTGCTTTAGAGCGAGTCACACCTAAATTAGTTCAACTGTGGCGCTAGTGTAGCTGTTTGAATCGCCAATAGCGGGTACCGAGGCAGTCACCCATCCAAGTACTAATCGTGATTAGATGTGCTTAACCTCGGTGACCGCAAGCCAAGGCGTTTCACCACTCGAGTTTTACTATCGATTACCCATAACCTATACAAAAGTAATAATAAAAAAAGATTAATTAAACATATAATAATGTAATCAAATAATAATTAGTACAATCATAATACATATTATAATGATACTAAAACTGGTGGTGGTAATAATAATAGTACTCGTGCTGATAATGGTACTTGTACTGATGCTGGTATTGGTACTGGTGCTGCTGCTGGTACTACTACTGGTGCTGGTATTGGTACTACTACTGGAGCTGGTATTTGTAGTGGTACTGGTGCTAATACTTCTACTGGTGCTGGTACTTGTACTGGTACTGGTGCTGGTACTTCTACTGGTGCTGGTATTGATACTTGTGCCCCATTACTGCAAAATTTCCAACAACAGTTAGAACTAGCCTTCGAACAACTGTCGTAACTTCTACAGTCACTAGAATTATATGTTTATATAATGAAACATTACTTAATAAAAAATGTCCAAAATTTTTAAGGAAGAGCCCTCCCCGCATAATTATTCAAAACAACAACCATTTAAGTTATTATTTTAATTAACGAGTACTAACGCAACGCTTTAAGGGGTTAGTCGCAGTCACATTAGGGAAAAACGGTTTTTGCGGTGACCACTCCTGTTCCTCAGCGCGTTATTTAAAATCAAAAATTAAGATTATTTTTTTAGTTAATTAGTTTCAACGCTGTTAGACCGTAGCTTTTTAAAAATACTTTTTTGAATAAAATGGCGACCGGTTAAATTCCGATTTCGACAAAAAAAGGTTTGGAATAAAATTTAAAAAATCTACAATTGTAAGAAGATTTTGCAAAAAGTTTTAGAATAGACCTAAAATAATTATTTTTGAATCGTTTTTTTATTTTTCGAAACAACACATTTTTTGTTTGTTAAGATCATTTACTTTACTCATAAAATAGCATTTTGATTAAAAAAAAAAATTTTAACAAAAAGTTTCATTAGTGCCACTCTGAAACATTTTACAAAATCTCAACATTTTTTCAGGAATGTATTTAAAAAAATAAATATATATGTATAAAAATCAGGAACCTTCACAGTATAAAAAAAAAATTCGAAATCAGAATCAAAAGTCAGCTATATTCAGTTTTGATTCTGGTACCTGAATCAAAAGTCTAGTTCATTTAAGTTTTGATTCCGAAATCAGAATCAAAAGTTAACTTAGTTTCGATTTGGTTTAGTTCCGGTTCTCTAACTGAAACAAGTCATATGTCGTAAGTTATTACGTCTTAAGTCTTACGTTTTAAGTCTCAAGTTTAGAGTCACATTGCGACGGATGTTATCGTTTCGATTTCCAAACCGCATGAAAAGTACATTCTACTTTCGTTTTGTTACAAATATGGAAACAAAATCAGTATTCGACTTTCGTGATGGTCCCTGATAAAAATGAAAGCAATCCTTTAAAATGTAGATTATTCTTTTTTAGTTCTAACTAAAAAAAACTTTGCCTGATAATTTTTACAAAAAAAAAATTACTTAAATTGATAATAAATTTTAATTACCAATTTGTTGAGTTGCCTGTTGTGATTTCTAAATCTTGCTTCTGGTAATATAAACCAATGTACAATTAATATTGAGCTTGAAAATTAATTTTTTTATAAATTAATGATAAAGTAAATTAATTAAAATTTTGAATTGTAAACATCAGTTGCAACATTATCTGATTTAAAACATTGCAAAGAAATATTTAAACATATTAAAAGTGTAACAAAATAGGGTGCCCACAACCGGGAACTACTTTTTTTCCTAAAAGTGATCACTTCACTAAATTTTTAATAAAATCTTTTCAGTTGAAGGAATCAATTTAGGTTTTTTACAGTTACATAACGCCTCTAGATTGCTACTGATAAACACAAGTCTCATAATATGCATTTGGTTAAAAGTTATAAACCATAAACAAAAGGGTTTATATTTAATTTTAATTAAAAAACAACAAATATGTAAATATAGTTTAAAATCTCCCAAATAATATATAATTTTACATTAAATCAACTAGAAAATATGTTTTAAACAAATTTAAATATTTTCAACTATATAGCAATACTAAAATAAGCTCGAATTATATATGTATAATATATTTGTTCCAAAAATATTGTATAAAATTATACAAAAATATTTAATCTGAACAATTATTTTATTAATGCAAATTTAATTAACTTATAATTACATAATATAAAAAATATCAAAATAGTCTACATTTACCTACATTTACAATACAATCGTCAAAAACCACTCAAATTATAAGTATCAAAAATTTTATTTTTTTAAAAACGACCATAAAAATAGTTAATATTAACAAATTATTTAATAAACTATTGATTCCAATTTTTTAATTCCTTTTCAAGAACTAGTTCAAAGCAGAAATGGTTTGATTGATTTTTGACAATTTTATATCAAAACGGGTGTTTTATGTTATTTCAACTGTAAGTTTCGTGGGCTTTTGAGTGACCTTTAATTATTTTTCAATTAAAAAAAAAATGTACAAGTATATTTTTTACACTTCAGGTTAAATTTTTGGAAAATGAAAGCAACATATTTTTGTTTATTGTCACTTTGTACCGTCGTAAAATATATTTATTAAAAATATTATTCGAAAATAAAAATTAATAAAAAACTTACAATTCTTAATGAACATTTGCTGGGCCTTGCATCAGAAGAAATCAAGGTAATAAGCAAAATTCCAAACAATATGGAAAATAATTGAGATTTATTCATTTTGTTATACATTGTCCCTTACTTAAATAGTATTTGTCGTGTTTGCTGTCGGTTTATTTATGCGAAAATGCTTCTTTGTTCTGCAAAAATTTGATAATAACTTTATAAATCATTTATTTTGTTCTCCAAATTGAAATTTACGTTTAACACAGCTAGTAATTGTGTTGATTTTGATTCTGGTGGGGTTGAATTTAATCGGCATGTATTTTGGGAGATTTCTAGTCTCCTTGAAGTCCTTAAAAAACGTTTCAGTTTATTTGTACTCAAATAATTTTTTATTTTCTTTAAACTCAGACAAACTTTTTTTGGGGGGGAAAGATTAAACAACAAATTTGTTTTTTCGAATTTTTATTTTCTCGAAAATCGTTTTATCTGAAAGGAATCGACTATAATTTTTACATTCTCATCACATGAGAAGGTATTATAATTGGTCGAAAATTGACTTTTTCTATTTCCATGAAATCTCTACGTTTTGAGGTGCCCTGAGTCGAAAAATCATGGTCCGGCAAAAGTGTCTGTCTGTATGTATGTATGTATGTAGACACAATAACTTTTGTAGATCGAAACAAATCGATTTGCAATTTTGCATACACAAAGTTAGTGTCAAAATACTGGTTAAGTTCGTTAGTCAGCCATTTTCATCAAAAAAGGCAAAAACTGCAGGATTTTCAAAATTTTGAAATTTAAATTCTTAAAAAAAAAAAATTTTTTTCACTACACAGCTTTATAGTCCAGGAAAAAGAAAACAATTTTTTTAAATGAAATTTTTTGATTAAAATAAAATTGTAAAAGTTACAGTGGTTTAATTGTCGAAAAACATCTAAAAAACGCCAAAAAAAGACATTTTTCATGAAAAATTAAATTTTATTAATGGGGTGGAAAAATCATTCCATAAAATAGACACATTCTCATCACAATAGACTCAGAAAATATGATACAAGTGAAAAAAATATCAATTTGGAAAAAAACCACTCTATATACATATTATTTATATCTTTTAACACAAAAATCAGACTTTCTGACTCAATTATCTTGTAATGTATTCATCTTGGCATAATGACCACAGAGACTTCTTTCTTCAAAACTTTATCAGCTACAACTTTGCCATTAAACATTTTTCTCTATCTCTTTACATTTGTGAGATTTTAATGAAAAAATCAATTTTTTTTACATTCTCATCACAAGTGTCTGTCTGTATGTAGACACAAAATGTTGTTGATACAATAACTTTTGTAAATCGAAACAAATCGATTTGCAATTTTGCACACACAAAGTCGCAAACAAGTACAATGGCATGTACCTGTACATGTTCATGTACTTTGTTTCAATTCTTTTTACAGGTTCGTTTTCTGCTCTTGTACAAGATCACGCGAATGTGCAAGTACTTGAACTTGAACAAGAAAATGTACATGATCTTGTACAAGATTTTTCAACTGCGAATAGAATATAACCCTTACTTTTATGTATAACCAGTTTGAAGTATATAAAATAAATTGTTTAATTAAAAAAACTATTTAAAAAAAATTATGGAGATGTGATACTATCCCCTTAAATGTATTCGTTCGCTCAAATGTTTCATATATTTGAAAAATCCAAATACTCAAAAACACTTCTAATTCCGCATCATACATTTGAGCGTGAAACGCGAGTACCATGATGAGAATGTTGTCCTTAAAGTCGAAGAACTTTAAGAAAATTAATCTTGTATAATAATAATATAATTATTATATATAATTTATATATTAAAATATTATCATATAATATTAAATGTAGAGTTAGCAGAACATTTGGAGCGCGTAACGCGACGAAATGCTATTCGCGCGCCCAGCGAGGCCCCACGCGCGAAGCGCGGATGAGAATGTGTTTGCTACCCCGAAGAGGTATATTAAGTTGGCGCAACCACATTATCGAAATTACTTTTTACCTATGCCATAATTAAGTGCTCATTTAGTGCTAATTTAATGCCAAAAGCACAAATTTAATGCTGTACATTTTAAAAAAAAATCATGGTGGCGCCAGCTTAACGTTAAGGTAGCGCCAACACATAGAAAAAATCTGTAAAAAATTTTCTTATTTTTGCCATAATTTAGTGCTCATTGAGTGCTAATTTAATGCCAAAAGCACAAATTTAATGCTGCACTCAGAGAATAGATTACTTTGATTTAAAGAAATCAGTTTCTTTGACTTGTTTTATTTCATTCAAAATAAAATTTTCTTTGAAACAAAAAAGCTTATTAATTTCAAAGAAAATTGTGCTTTAAATCAAAGAAATTCTAACATTGATATAAAGTCATGGAAACATTTATTTGAATTAAATAAAAAATTTCTTTTATCGAAGATAAATTTTTTTAATCACAGAAAATTTGTTTGAAACAAATAAATTTTCTTTGAAGCAAAGAAATATTTCTCAAAGGAATTGATTTCTTTAATTCAAAGATATCCTTTTTCTCGGTGAGTACATTTTTAAAAAAATGATGGTGGCGCCAGCTTAACGTTAAGGTAGCGCCAACACATAGAAACAAGGAAGATGAATACATTTTATTAGGAATTATAAGATTTATAAACGCAGTTGGCTGTTTCTATTTCAATTCATGCAGGGCGAATAGGTTGAAAATTCTAAATCAAGTTTAATGTGATTTTTCTTGTTTTTTATGACAAATAAAGAGATACGTATTTTTTGGTTTGGCGAAAAAAAATTTTTTCGCAGAGTTATGAGTATTTGAAAATTTTATGGCACATAGTGATTTTAGAGCTAAACAGCTGAAAAATTATTTTTAAACCTTTCTAGTTTTTACAAAAATTAATATTTTTCAATTCTGTTTCTTGATTTTAGTAGTGTTTTTGATACTCTTTCTTTACAAACTTGAAAATTTGAAAAAATTTGAAAATTAACAAAATGGCGGACATTTTTTAAAAAATCAAAAAAGTCAATTTTCTCAAAAACATCATTTTTTAATTTGCTGCAAATTTTTTTGTGGTTTCTAGATAAAAAAAGGAACTTTTTCCAAAAGGTCTCATGTTCGCTAAAACTTTCTGGAAGTCGCTATAATTTTTTTCAGAAAATAAATAACTCAGTATTTTGAGTAATGTGTCGACACATATATTTTTCATGTATACAAGGGTCTTCATCTTTTTTAATAGTGCTTTTGACACTTTTTCTTTTCAAAATTGCAAATTTCAAAAACTAACAAAATGGCGTCGGTTTTTCAAAAAATATAAGATCTCAATTTTCTCCAAAACATTTTTTATTTTGCTGAAAATTTTTTTGTGGTTTCTAGATAAAAAAAATAATTCTTTCAAAAAAGGTGAGTTTTTCTTAGTAAAGTTGAAAACTTTAAAAAATTAACTAAATGCCAGCCATTTTTAAAAATTGTTAAAAATAACTATATTTAAATAAATATAAAAATAAAAAATAACTATATTTAAATAAATATAGTTATTTTTAACAATTTTTAAAAATGGCTGGCATTTAGTTAATTTTTTAAAGTTTTCAACTTTACTAAGAAAAACTCACCTTTTTTGAAAGAATTATTTTTTTTATCTAGAAACCACAAAAAAATTTTCAGCAAAATAATATTTATAGGATTTTAAACTAATAAAATCAACAACATTTACCGTTTCGTTTAAGAGATATAAGAGTTTAAAAATTATTAATTTTGAGTTTGATGCATTGTAAGATTAGGGGAATCACTACTAACACTAGCATCAGCACGTGTATGTATAGAGGCGAACGATGTATTTAGTACAGCCAGGCAAAAAAATTTGAAGCGACAAAGCTATAGTTACCCTAAACTTTTTTATAAAAGTTTTTTTTGTTTCAAAGGAAATTTTATTTTGAATGAAATAAAACAAGTCAAAGAAACTGATTTCTTTAAATCAAAGTAATCTATTCTCTGAGTGCAGCATTAAATTTGTGCTTTTGGCATTAAATTAGCACTCAATGAGCACTAAATTATGGCATAAATAAGAAAATTTTTTAGAGATTTTTTTTATGTGTTGGCGCTACCTTAACGTTAAGCTGGCGCCACCATCATTTTTTTAAAAATGTACTCACCGAGAAAAAGGATATCTTTGAATTAAAGAAATCAATTCCTTTGAGAAATATTTCTTTGCTTCAAAGAAAATTTATTTATTTCAAACAAATTTTCTGTGATTAAAAAAATTTATCTTCGTTAAAAGAAATTTTTTATTTAATTCAAATAAATGTTTCCATGACATTATATCAATGTTAGAATTTCTTTGATTTAAAGCACAATTTTCTTTGAAATTAATAAGCTTTTTTGTTTCAAAGAAAATTTTATTTTGAATGAAATAAAACAAGTCAAAGAAACTGATTTCTTTAAATCAAAGTAATCTATTCTCTGGGTGCAGCATTAAATTTGTGCTTTTGGCATTAAATTAGCACTCAATGAGCACTAAATTATGGCATAAATAAGAAAATTTTTTACAGATTTTTTCTATGTGTTGGCGCTACCTTAACGTTAAGCTGGCGCCACCATGATTTTTTTTTAAAATGTACAGCATTAAATTTGTGCTTTTGGCATTAAATTAGCACTAAATGAGCACTTAATTATGGCATAGGTAAAAAGTAATTTCGATAATGTGGTTGCGCCAACTTAATATACCTCCCCGAAAAGGGAGCGGGCAGATTTTTTGAATTCGAATCTTCAGATTATATAATAAAAATACTTTCGAATTATTATTTGACAGAATTTTTTAATTTCGAAAGAACATTTTTTATAATTTTCAATAAACCGAATAATCATTTCTCATAATTATTATTGTAGAGAATTAGTATTTTTCATAATTTTTATTTTTCCAAAAACCTGTTTATACTATTTTTGATTTTACATAATTACCATTTTTTATAATTTTTTTTTCTTCGAATTACCATTTTGTATGATAAATATTTTTTCGAACAATTATTTGTTCTAAAATGTAATTTACCAAATTTATACTTTTTCTATTTTTAAACGTAACGATTACCTATTTTATATAATTATGAGAAATGATTATTCGGTAAATTGAAAATTATATAAAATAGCTAATCGTTACTTAATGTATTCGTCTGAAAATAGTT